CCTCCCACCTCCTCCCCACTCCTCCCCCCTAACCCTCCAGGGCAGCTGGTGTGTGTGTTCCAACCCACCAGGCTCGAAGCCTGGGTGCCCTGCCCGGTGCCCAAAGGGTCCGTGTTGCTTGGAAAAATGTCTCCCCTCTCCTCTCGCGGTGGGAGAGCCTGCTCCTCGTTACCCAGTATTCCCAGGGCCGATCCCCCCGGCTCCCCACTTCCCCCTTTTCAACATCTACATTCCAGGAGGAGAGACCAGTGCTCATCTCTCACACCAGCCCTGCACAGCAGCACCACGCCCGCTGGAGGAGGGGGCACCCTGGGCTCACACAAAGGCCGCAGGGCTGTTCTAGCCAGTGTGGCTCAGTGGATAGAGCGTCGGCCTGTAGACTGAAGGGTCCCGGGCTCGATTCTGGTCACAGGCACATGCCCCGTTGTGGGCTCGACCCCCAGGAGGGGGCGTGCAGAAAGCCACGGAGCAATGATTCTCACCATGGATGTTTCTATCTCTCCCTCCCTCTCCCTTCCTCTCTCTAAAATCAGTAAACATATTTTTTTTTAAAAAAAAAACAAAGGCCCCAGGGCTGGAGGGTGCAGGACAGATGGTGGCCTCAGCCCTAGACTCTGCCCTGTCCCCCCGTCTCTACATGACACCGTGGGGCTGGGGAGAGGGCCCCCTCGGAATGGATCTGCACGTGCGGTATGGACACCCACCTTGTCGTTGCACTCGGGCACCAGGCAGGGCACCCCGCGGTGCCGGTCCAGAAAGCCCTGGAACTCCTCCTTGCTGATGACGAAGCGCTCGGCCTCCCGCAGGGCGCCATCCCCCGCATTCTCCCCGTCGATGAGCAGGCACTGGAACACCTGGAACACGCGTGTGCTTGGCGAGAGCGTCCCGTCGGGGGCACCCACACCTGGGCCCGCCCCCAGCTTCCTCCCTCCTGAGCCGAGGTGATACCTCACTCTGAGGAATGTTCTAGAAGGACATTGCTTGGGGGGCACTTGAGCTGGCCCTGGGGTTTAGGGAGCACAGATATCCTTAAAAGGCAGACACAGGAAGAACGGGTCCAGGTGACGTTCTATCTGGTTTCAGCGCCTCAGTTTCCAGACCGTAGACTAGCAAATGCTCCCGGACGGACACGTGGGCCGTGTGGAGACATCGAGCCCGGCCGGTGTGGCTCCGCGTTCTCCCACCAAAGCCTGGGTCCAGGGCTCGATCCCCCGTGTGGGGCGTGCAGGAGGCCGCCAATCCATGATTCTCTCTCGTCATTGATGTTTCTATCTCCCTCCCTCCTTTCCTCTCTGAAATCAATCCTATATAATAAAAGCCTAATATGCAAATTGACTGAACAGCAGAGCGACCGGTGGAGTGACCGGTTGCCACGTCGTGCACTGACCACCAGGGGCAGATGCTCAATGCAGGAGCTGCCCCCAGCCTGCAGGCCCCAGGCCAGCCAAGGCAGGTGCCAGCGGGGGCCCCCGATTGCCCTGCCAGTAGCCCCACAGAGGGAGGCAACCAGTGGCAACTGCGGGGGCAGGGCCAGTGAGCAGGAGACGCCAGGCTGTCTAAGGCAGGTGCCAGTGGGGGCCCCCCGATCGCCCTGCCCGTTGGTCCAGAGATCGGCCCTGATCGCTGGCCAGGCCTATGGACCCTACCCGTGCATGAATTTCGTGCGCCGGGCTGCTAGTAAAAATACATTTTTTTAAAAAGAAGGACCCTGGTCCCAGCTGGTGCCGCGGCTCAGAGCTGCACGCTCACCATCTCCACTTCCCCGAAGCCGTTCCGCCCACGCGGTGTGGGGGGACCCGGGCCAGCCGCCGCCTCACCTTCCAGCGCACGGGGTTCAGCTCCTGGATGTGCGCGCGCATGTCCTCGTCCACGTTGAAGCGGTTGATGACGGAGTTGATCTTGAAGGCCACGCGGTACTCCCGGCACCAGCGCCTCAGCTTCCTGAGGTTCTCCACGTGGTTGAGCCGCCCCTGGCCGCGGCCAATGAGCACGTTCACGTCTTCGTTGAAGCTGTCGCAGGAGATGGCGAGGATGTCCAGGTACTGGCCTGTGGGAAAGGGCGGCGTCAGCTCTCCGCCTAGGACCCCGCCCGGTCGGTGGCTCCCACCTCCTCAGGATGAAACAGACCTGTGTTACCGTTTGCTTTCATTGTTTAAACACCGTGTGCCCCCGCTCCCCCCACCCCACACGAAAATATGCGCTACACACGGTAAAATAGTCTTAGGAAAGAAGGCACCTCACAGGGCACCAGCAATGTTCACACGCAAGAGAAACTCTCCGCCCATGTGTGTGTATGCGTAAGCGTGTGCGTGCATGCGTGTGTGTGCGCGCGCACGCTCCTGCCAGCACGCCCTCCCGGTCTCACTCACTTCTCAGGGAGGTCAGTGTGTTGGATACAAGCTTTGCAGACCTACATCTTTTCATATATATATATATACTACGGGCCCGGTGCATGACATTTGTGCAAGGGGCTCAGTCCCCGCAGACCCAGCTTCGTCGGGAAGGTCATCCAGAAGGACATCCGGAAGGTCATTCAGTTGTCTGGTCTCATTAGCATATTACACTTTCATTATTTTACTAGAGGCCTAATGCACAAAATTCATACAGAAGCAGGCCTTCCTTCCCCTGGCTGCTGGCACCGGCTTCCCTCCGGCACCCAGGACCCGGGCTTCCCTCACAGCCCGGCTTTGTCTGGAAGGTCGTCCGGAAGGACATCTGGTCTAATTAGCCTATTACACACACACATATAAAATTGATTTCAGAGAGGAAGGAGGGGGAGAGAGAAACATCCATGATGAAAGCGAATCACTGACAGGCTGCCTCCTGCACGCCCCCCACTGGGGATGGAGCCCACAGCCTGGGCCTGAGCCCTGACTGGGAATCGAACCCTGACTTCCTGGTTCACAGGTGGTTGCTCAGCCCCTGAGCCACGCTGCCAGGCCAGTCCCTTACTCCCTAGGAGACTTAAGGGTGATGGCAAACAAGCAAAAAGGTGGGGAAGCTGGAGCCCAGCCCCTGCTCGCCACCCTGGCCGGCCCCGAGGAGCTGAGCGCAGGAGGACTGTTATCTGCCCGCGCACACATGTTCACGGGAGCCCTGCAGAACTCACTGCCGTTAACTCCACACGCAGCTCGCGAAGAGATTAGAACGGGCCCGTTTGGTCCCAACCCGGCCCGGCCCAGGGAGGAAGGACGTGCAGCCGTGCAGGGGACCGGCCTCGGGAGGGAGGGCGCTCACCGTACTTCACGAACCAGCGCTCGCGGATGAGGCTGCCGTTGCTGACGATGCTCACGCTGGGCAGGCGCAGCTCCTGCTTGCAGAACCTCACCAGGCGGCCCAGGTACTCCCCGCGGTCCTGCAGGAAGGGCTCCCCGCCTGAGAAGTTCACCTTCTCCATGCCTGCGGAGACGGGACACCCCACGGTGAGCGAGAAGCAGGGACTGGCTGCCTCCTGCACGCCCCCTACTGGGGACTGAGCCGCGATCCAGGCCTGTGCCCTGACCGGTCCTCTCCCCTCCCCTCCCCTCCGCGGACCAGTGCCTCTTGCCCCAAATCCTTGCCCTGCTCTGGGTTGATTTAGTCCCTTATTTTGGAAAAATGTTCTAGGAGTTTCCTGGGGGGAAAAGTAACAAAATGGTAAAGTCAGAAGGGCAGCGAGGACTTGTGGGTGTTGAACTAGCCCCGCGGTCAGCAGTGTGGGCGGAACCCTCTGCACGCGGAGCTGGAAGGCCTTGCTTACTGCCCTCTAAGTGCCCACAGCCTTGCCCGTGCCTGGGAAACTGTTATAAACACGTTATAAACACATTATAAACACGCCTTCACACGGATGCGCCTTTTCTCTCCCAGAGGCTTTCTTTCCAATGTCCTGCCGTGTCCACCATGCGCCTCCGGGGATGGGGCACGCCCCCACACAGTCAGTGCCCTGAGCACGCCCCCCCCCCCACTCCACACGCAGCTCGCGAAGAGATTAGAACGGGCCCGTTTGGTCCCAACCCGGCCCGGCCCAGGGAGGAAGGACGTGCAGCCGTGCAGGGGACCGGCCTCGGGAGGGAGGGCGCTCACCGTACTTCACGAACCAGCGCTCGCGGATGAGGCTGCCGTTGCTGACGATGCTCACGCTGGGCAGGCGCAGCTCCTGCTTGCAGAACCTCACCAGGCGGCCCAGGTACTCCCCGCGGTCCTGCAGGAAGGGCTCCCCGCCTGAGAAGTTCACCTTCTCCATGCCTGCGGAGACGGGACACCCCACGGTGAGCGAGAAGCAGGGACTGGCTGCCTCCTGCACGCCCCCTACTGGGGACTGAGCCGCGATCCAGGCCTGTGCCCTGACCGGGATCGAACCCGGGACCCTTCAGTCCACAGGCCAGTGCTCTTTCCACTGAGCCACACCAGCCAGGGCCAAGACATTTTTCTCCCATTTCTCCCGGCCACAGGCACCCTTCACTCCCTCAATGGCCAAAGTCTTGTTTTCTCGGCATCACAGAAACGCCATGAGAGTCTCTGTGCCTTCCCCGCCCCGAGGCCCAGGCCCGCCAGCCCGGCTCTGTGGACATGGCCGTGTGGGTAAGCCAGGGTTTCACCAGGAAAAGGAAAGTCACTGGTTGGTTTTCTTGTCTTCCTCCTATTGAATAGCTGCTTGGTAATGTGGGGACCGAGTCACACACGGAGGGACTTGCCTAAGAGGCCCGGGTGCCATGAGGCAGCCTAGAGATGCACGGCCAACACCCTCCCCAGGTAGAACCATCGGACGCTCCTCAGCAGCCCCTCAGTTCTGGGACCTCCTTTCCCCTCCCCTCCCTCCTCCCCTC